CTACTCTGCAGAAAAAAATAATGGTATCTTGAAATTCGCAGGCAAGTGGATGGCACTTGAAGAAACCATCCTGAATGAGGTAACCCAGTCACAAAAAGAGGAACACAGTATGTACTCACTCATATATGGATTTTAGACCTAGATCAAATGATCACCAGCCTATAATTCACATCACCAGAGGAACTAGGATACAAGTTGTATTCTAAGAGATTCATATAAAGTCCCTCACAGAACTGGGAAGGGACAAGTCCCCCAGACCTCAGGTATAGTGGGGGAGGACAGCTAATGGAGAGAGAAGTATGAGAAAATGAGAGGGAGGAGAGGAAGGCATGTGCGACCAGGAGGATTGAGCCTGGTTAGGAATGGAAAATAGGAAAGAGAGAGAGAGACAGAGACAGAGAGAGAGAACATAAAAGAGGGAGCCAATATTGGTTTGAAGATAAAGTTGAACACAAAGAAAGGTCGAGGGAACTACAAGACTGCTCCCAACTAACAATCTCAGCTTCCGTGGAAAGGCTATCATAAATGCCCTTCCCGGAGAGTGAGATCAACAACTAACTTCTCCATGGAGTCCTCAACTAATGCCTGTTGAAAACAGGAGCAAACACCCATACATAAACACTGAGTCAAACTAGAACCCAGAAGCAGATGGAGAGGACAAGACCATGCGGTAGAAGTACATAGAGACAGCTTACCTGAACAAGGAGGAGCTAAGGGCCACTAGACTGATAGCTGGGAAGCCAACAGGGGTCTGACTCGGACCCCCCTGAATATGGGTCTCAGCCAGAAGGTCTGAGCAGCCTAAGAGACCTCAGACAGTGGAGCCAGGATGTATCCCTGGTGCACAAAAGGACTTTGCAAACATATCCCCCATGGAGGGATAACTGCCTTATTCTAGAGATAGGAGAGAAGCCCTAGTCCCTACTTCACAGGACTTGTCAGATCTACATGACCCCAACTGGATGGCATTCCCCTACATATTGTATTGTGGCGGGGGGTTGGGAGGGGAGGGTGTTTAGAGTGCATGGGAGAGGGTAGAGAGGGCAAAAGGGAGGGAAGGAGGGAGGGAGGGCTTGGGGGGAGGGAGGGAGGGAGGGAGAGGGAACTGGGATCGATATGTAAAATAATAAAAAAAAAAAAAAAAAACAAAACTTTGACTCCAAAATTTAAGTTGAAGAACAAGTTACTGGGGAAAAGTATTTCTATTTTTGTTTCCACAGAAAATGAAAAGATGTGGATTCCTTCCAGACTAATGTGGTTTGATCACACCAGACCGCCTGAAACAGAGTACAAGCTGATCCTACATTCCAAACAGCTGGACAAAACAGCCCTATAGACTACAGCTAGGATATCTGAATCTTCTTCGAATCCCCCAAGACAGCGCCCCTTACCAGCAGGAAGTAGTTTGGAAAGAACGACGCCCAAATTCCCAAATATTGTGTATAAATGTTTGTTTTCATTTAATTGGACTTTGTTATATAAAATTAAATAAAAAATACTCTATATGCATAAAAAAAAATCAAGCAAGAAAATTTTTTTTAAAAATTTAAATGAAATAAACTTGAAAATATTATATTCCAAAAACTATGCAACACAGTAAGTACAGTTCTAAACAGAAAGTTTGTAACCTGAAATACCCACATCAAAAAAAAAAAAAAAAAAAAAAAAAAAGCACTGTCAAATAAATAACTTAATAATGCACTGTAAGGCTTTGTACAAAAAAAAAAAAAAGAAAAAGAAAAAGAAAAAAGAATGCAGTAGATGGGAAGAAATAATTATGACCAGAGCAGAAATTGATGAAAGATACACAGACTCAATGAAAGGAGATGAATGTGGTGGTGAGAACCTTTAATCTCTGCAGTTGAGGGATAGAGGAAGGCAATCTCTGTGAATTCAAGGTAGGATGGTATACACAGTGAGCTGCAGGCCAGCCAGGAATGCACATTGAGACCCTGTCTAAGAGGGAGGGGAAAAAAAATCAGTGAAAGGAAAAGCTGATTCATTCAAAAGATAACAAGACTTACAAACCCTTTATTTAACAAAAAGAAAGAAAATAATCCAATAGGAAAATTGGACATACAAAGAGAGACATCATAACAAATGCCAATAAAATTTTAAAAAAAATAAGGAAATGCCTTAAATTTTTATATTCTTCTAAATCAAGAAATCTAAAAGAAATTAATTTCTATATGCATATGAATCAACAAAATTAAACCAAGATGAAATAAATAATTTAGATCTATAACCAATAAGTTGGAAGCAATAAGCCATCTACGAAAGGGGCAAAAAAAAAAAAAAAAACCAGAATCTAATTAATTCATTGCAGAATTCAACCAGCCTTTCAAAGAACACCAATATTATTAGTCAAACTATTCCACAAAATAGAAAAGGCAAGAATGCCTCTAAATACTTTTTATGAAGCCAGTATTCCCCTAGAATCAAAACAAAATATTATAAACCAACTTTCCTGATAAATATAGATCCAAAATTTCTCAATAAAATACTTGCAAACAGGGTTGGTGACATGGTTCTGCAGCTAAAATACAGGGGCTGCTCTTCCAGAGATGGCTCATGATAATCTGTAATTCTGTTTCCAAGCAATCCAACACCCTCTTTGACCTGACACAGAAAAGGCTTTCTAGAAAATCTACCATTGTTTCATGATAAATGATGTGCAAAGTTTAGAGGTGGAGAAAACATATCCCAACAAAATAAAGGCTATATACTATAAACTTTAAGCAAACGTCATAGTAAATAGAGAAAAACTCAAAGCATCCCCACTACAATGAGGAACAAGACAAGGATGTCTAGTCTCTCCACTTGTATTCAATATACTAACTGAAAGTCTTAACTAGAACAACAAGAGAAAGAAGTTAAGAGGCAACCAAAGGCTTAAAACATTAGTCAAAGTATCATTCCCTGCCAACAGTACAATCTTATACATGAGACCCTAATTCCAACAAAATTCTTTAGAGGACGAGATTCAGCAAAGTGACAGATTACAAAATTAGTACACAGAAATCAAAAGCCATCCTATATATCAAAGACAACCAGTGAAACAATCTCATTTACAATAGCCACCAAAAAGTAAAATGCATGAAAACAAAGCTAACTAAGGTAGGGAAAAAAAAAAAAAAAAAAACAGCTTTAATAATGAAAACTTTTAAGATACAGAAGAAATAAATTGAGAAAGACACTAGAACATGGTAAGGTTTTCCATGTTCATGGCCTGGAAGAATCAATTTTATGAAAATCACCATTCCCCCCCTCAAGGTAATCTGCTGATTCAATGCAATCACAATCAAGATTTCAAGGACAATCTTCACAGACAGTAAAATTTATAGGGAAGCAAAAAAGACCAAGGAGAGTCAAAGCAATACTGATACAGGGGATGTCACCATTCCCAAATTCATTCTACAGAGCCACAGTAATAAAAACAGCATGGTATAGGTACAAATACAGATACATAAAGCAGTGGAGTAGAATAGAGGACTCCATATAGAAGTTCCCATAACTAAACCAGGTGGTGGTAGCACACACCTTTGATCCTAGCACTAGGGGAGGCAGAGGCAGGTGGATCTCTGTGAGTTAGAGAGCAGCCTGGTCTGCAAGAGCTAGTTCCAGGACAGCCTCCAAAGCCACAGAGAAACCCTGTCTCGAAAAACCAAAAATAAATAAATAAATAAAATAAGTTCCCACAACTAAAGCTACCTGATTTTTTCACTAAAAGCCAAAAATCTGTATTAGACAAAAGAAAGTGTCTTCAGCAAGTGATGGTTGGAAAACCTGGACATTGCCAAGTAGAAGAATGAAACTAGATCCCTATATTTACCCTGTGTAAAACTAAATTCAGATCTAAAAAGACTTTGATATAAGACTTGATATCCCAACACTTCTAGATGAAAAAGCAACAATTGCACCTCAACATATAGGTAAACGTTTTTAGAATAGCATAAGAATATAAGACCAAAAGTGGTCAAATGGGCTCTCATGAAATTAAAAGGCTTTCTATATAACAAAACAAGCAGTTAATTGAGTGAAGAGAAATAGTAACTAGAATATACAAGGAATTTAAAAAACCAAACTTCAAACTGAGTGGTTGTGGTGCACGCCTTTAATTCCAACATTCAGGAGCCAGAGGCAGTTAGGTCTCTGAGTTCAAGGCCAGCCTGATCCACAGACCATGTTCCAGGACAGCCAGGGGTACACAGAGAAACCCTGTCTCAAAAAAACAACCAACCAACCAGCCAAACAAACAAAAAACCTAAATGCCAAAAAAACAACCCAATTGAAACATAGGCTATGGACCAAAATAAGAATAGAGCTCTCAAAATAATTCTAAATGTCTCAGAAACCTTTTTAAAAGTCATCAACATCCCTGAGTATCAGGGATATGTACATAAAAACTACTCCGAGATACCATTTCACCCCAGTCAAAATGGCCATCATCAAGATCACAAATGATTAAAAAAAAAAAAAAAAAAAAATTTACTGCTATCAATGTTAATAAAGGGGTCTGTTATAAATTGCTGGTGTGGGTATAAACATATAAACTAACGCAGACACTTTGGAAATAAAGCCGAAGGATTCTCAAAAACCTAAAAATAAACCTACCATCTGGGCATGTGCCCAGAGGAATTTATACCACACTACGGAGATACTTGCACACCCATGTGCACTACAATACCTAGAAAATGAACAAAAAGCATTTAAAAATAAATAATACAAGTTCATTTGATAACTGAGGCTCCCAGCACTAAGAAACTGGTCAAATAGCTTGCAATTGTCAGAACAGAGCCTCCACCCTTTGCCTTCCTTGTGTACCATAAGACAAATCTAAAAACAATGGTAACATAAGCTCACTAACTGAAATGGTGCTCAAAGTTGGGTTCACCAAAGGGTAAATAAAACAAATGAAAACTACCATATAGTGACATCAACCCTTGGAAACAACAATATATAAAATTGTCAATTGACCCTTTGGGGGTCTGTACACTTACCAGACCTTAACAAAGCAGGTGAAGAGAAGGCTGCATCAGGTGAGAGGGCCATTTCAACTTGACTCTTATCATAAGCGTTGCAGGCTAAACTACACCGATTTTAAAACTGTTTAGTGAAGGTTAGAAGCAATCACCATTAGATTAATTGAAAGCAGTATGAGCAGTTATTAGCATAATGCAATGTACAAAAGACATTTAAAGATCATTAAATAATTTTAGTTCACCTTTTAGGGTTTAAGAGTTTGATTTCCTTTATTTGTTAAATTAAATTTGCTTACATGAATAGACAGAAACATAATATCCACTTACTAAGAAACATTTCATTAGTAGCATCATTTATTGTATAGTAAAGTTGTTATGATACTATGTAACAATGTTTAGAACTCCAAAGAGGAGTCTATCCCAGCAACAGGTTAATTCATGCTTTAAACAAGACTGTTTATATATTCTCCTAAAAGTTGTAAACAGAATCAAAATAATCCTTTGAATAAACAGGGAGTAAATAATGTGGTTCAAGAGGGTTTATTGTCTATAGTTCTCAGAGTCTGAAAATTAGAAACCACAAATACAACTACTAATTTTAAAGATTTGCCTCAAGTATTTTTTTTAACTTGTGTCTAAATTTTACTCATTAAGCAACTATTCAGGAACATTTTATAACTAGTAACTAGTGTGCATAGGACTGAGTTTAAGAAACTGCATTCAACAATAGCAAAATAAAACAAAACTTACCCTATTAAGAAAAGTAAGATTCTCAAAGTTTACTACTGTGACATGCATTTGAGTAAAACAAATACTTGAAGAGAAAATAGACTCTGTATGCTTATTAAAAAGAATTATGCTGCAAAAATATGTTGGGGGCATTGTTCAACTCTCAGGAACAACCTTGTAACACTTTCATACTTCCACAGCCATACTCTTAATAACCAAGTCAATATTTCTATATGACATAAAAAGACTTTAAGAAAAAGTAGGAAACAAATATTACATGACTGTTTCAAGAAATTGTATTGACTCTGAACTATTTTTTAAATTCAACTTTTTCTGTGGGTTTTCCACTACAGCCCTGAGTAAATAAACACAAGAATTTTAAGATTTAAAACAGAATGAAACGGGTACTTCCTACAACCTTTCCTCCCTCTTTTACAAGGGAAAGGTCCTTGGTTGAAGATTTGTGATTCCACCACCCCTCGAGTATAGGAACACCGCTTTTGTGCTCAAGATTATATCCAGTTTTAATAGGGGCAGTTTCAGTTTGGGCTCTCTGAGGAGTTACTAGCCAGGAGTACTAACTTTTACAAAGTCAGTGACTTTGCAATTTGAACAAGTCAGTTCAGGACACTTAAACTGTTGGTATCTTCTGACCTCCGTGGTGGAACCACAACTAGAAACTGCAGGGGATGGGATCACTTGGCTAGAGAAGAGGCCAATTCCATTCTGTACACTAACTTTGCTTTGCGGCCCAGACCCTGTCCGCCTCAGTTTCTGACGCACAGAACTTGCTGCGGCTCAAAATTACTGAGGAATGTGAAGGGGACTTATGAAATAAGACAAGAGTAGTCGCCAACTCTTTAGGACCCTACTAAAAATGAAGACCTAATTTTTCAGAACAGAGGTGGTTCTGGTTCCAAGAACTTGTCACTGCCTGGCTTCCAGGGACAACTTTCCTGGAGAAGTCAGCTTGCCGCTAATGTTGGAGAGGAAATGACTTGGGAGCGAACACAGAAGTTTTCTAAATGCTGGAAGTGCGGGGTGTGGGGAAGTGAAAGGCAGGGTACCAAGACCAGGGCACAGCCAGGGCCACCTATTGCTTTCTGAAGATAACTTAGGGACACAAGTTGATCCCTAAGATCGATCCCATCTGCCTCCCTCCAGAGCACCTGAGGAAGAGCACCACCCACTGTACCCGGAAGGGGCAAGGTTGTTGTCAAAAGCAGCCAAACCTGAGCGCTTGGCCCGGGCTCGTCGCTCCAAGACCTTCCAGCTTACTTCGGCCATGTGTCCCTCCGCCCCCGCCATCTCGCAGTGCCCACCGCCAGGGCTGCCAGTCAGCACCGCCCTCCCGGCCACGCCCCCGCGCGCGACACTGTCGGGAGGCACGCCGGCCGGAAGTGAGCTTCCAGGCAGACGTCGCCCTAGCTTCTTGGTCTCTTGGTCGACGGAGGGACAGCTCCAGGCGAGCCTGAGAGTGCAGAGAGGGGCAGCCCGTGAGCCCGCACCCTGAGTCTTTTCTCGGTCGGCTGGGCGCACGGTGCTTTGCGGCTGCCGTCAAGCGCAGCGGAGGCCGGCCGGGCCGAGGGCGCCATGGCGGCAGGCCTGCTGCCCAGCGCCGGGGTGGTCCTGGCGCCGCTGCTCTTGGGGCTCGCGGTGCTGAGCGTTGGGCCTGCCCCGGCGAGGGCTCTGCACAACGTCACGGCAGAGCTCTTTGGGGCCGAGGCCTGGGGCACCCTGGCAGCCTTCGGGGACCTCAACTCCGACAAACAGACGGACCTCTTCGTGCTGCGGGAAAGTCAGTGCTTGCCAGCCCTCCCTCTGTTTGCCCATCCCGGTGTACCCACGCCCCCTTGTTCCTGTTACCCTCCTGCCTGTATCTCCCAGCCTTGTGGCTCTCCCTTTTATCTTCATCATCCTTGACAGCTTCCCCTTTCCCCAGTTTTATCAGCCCTGGGTCCTGACCATCAGCAGCCCCCAAACCTTAGGAACACACCAAGTCCCTTCACCCAGCAGCCTGTACCATTCACCTGCCTGACAAAGTCCTTCCTGGTTCCTAAGCAACTTGGTTTCTGGCCTCTGCGTTTGTTTTCCTTTTTTTTTTTTTTTTTTTTTTTTTTTTTTTTTTTTGTCCAATGTTCTGCCCCTTTTGGTAGGAAAAGATGCAACTTGACAGTCCCTTCTTATGAGAAATGTACCGCCTCTACTATTTGCTCAGTTCATCTGCTCTTCCTTTTGTTAAGATCCACATTTGTTTGAAGGTACTGTGCCCTCCTAAGGCACCAAACACTACACAGCTCACACAAGCACTTTTTGTTGTTAACTACAGATAAACGCAGTGCCTCCTTGGTAACATTCTCAAACTACAGACTTCTCCAGTATGAGCTGCCTGATATTGAAGAGTACATTTGACCCTTCATCACCTTGCTTATTACTGTAGTCTTCAACACCTCATCATTGTAGTCCTGCACATCACTTTTGACCAACTTGCCATTCTTGAAAGTTCAGTAAATAATTAAGCCTTAAAATAGAAAAAAAAAGTCTTATAATAACAAGGTGCATTCATTATCATTAGTAGGTGCTGGTTAAGGACCAAGGCAGTGAATAACGTTAAAAACTGATACAGAGCTGAGTGACAGGATACCCACAGGGTTTTTGAGGGCTTTTCCCATCACCACAGAACCTATATAGACCTGGGTGTTTTCCCTATATTTGAATGATTACCCATATTGTAAGAATGGTGCAAGCCTACAACTGGCTTCAGAGATTCTCCTTAACTTAAAAGATACCTGTGTTTGATTAAGCATTTCTAAAACCCTGCCCCCGTGAGTGTTAATTGAATTCCATAGATCCATTCATGTGGAAAGTAGTTCCATAGCAAGCAAAGGAAGAAAGATGGGAGGGCTCTGCCTTTTCTGCTTATGTGTTGAATTGTATCTTTGTTACTTCTTAGAAGCTAGCTGTAGTAGGAATTCCTGTATAATTGGTATGATGAATCTGTATAATGAAGTGAACAGCCTCATATAAGGGAGACCTGTTTGGATGCAGAAAACACAAGACTAAATGGTAGCACAGTAAAGAATAAGGTTTTGTTGTTGTTGTTGTTGTTGAGGGGGAGATTGTGCATGTGTGTGTTTCCTGTGTTGCCTCAGATCAAACCAGGGTTTTATACTGAGTATAGAATAGGATAGTTTCAGATGTGTTCTTTATGTAGATGGCTCTTTTAAATTAGCCCGTCAGCCTCTTGATGGAATCCCATAGCTTCACATTGCCTGGAACAAGTATGTGTTTTTTTATACATCCCTTTCCTACATTCCATTAAATTAGTATGAGTATCCTTTAGAATGCTATCTACCGAGATTAGAATAAAAATTTCCTAATAGAAACAGTACCGAGGAATATTCAAGCACTGACTGAATGATTTATGAAAACACATTTTTTCTAAAATCATTTATTTTCTTCTTTTAGGAAATGACTTAATCGTCTTTTTGGCAGATCAGAGTGCACCCTATTTTAAACCCAAGGTTCAGGTATCCCTGAAGTAAGTACAAATGCTTATTTTGGGAAATATTAGCCCTCATAATATGAATATGTGGTAGCTTGGAAATCAGTTCTGTTCAGCTGTGGTATTGTGTCACCAAGTCCTTACTTCCAAACTCTGAGTAGTAATCAATTTGTAAATGGTAAATAAAATAAACAAGGTGAAGACTGGTGAGATGGCACTTTTCTACTAAGTCTGATTGCCTAAGTTGGATTCCCAGGGCCCATGTGGTGGAAGAAGACAACTGACTCCTAGAAATTCTTAAATTATTGTCTGATCTCCACTTCTACACTGTGGTGCCAGCATACACGCTCTCGCTCTCTCTCTGTCTCTGTCTCTCTCTCTCTCTCTCTCTCTCTCTCTCTCTCTCTTTTTCTCTCTCCATCCCTCTCTCTCCTTCTCTCTTTCTTGAGAGAGAAGGGGGAAGAAGGAAGAGATAGCTACAAATCAATAAAATGTAATTTTAAAAGGAGAAACATTTGGAAATAAAATTTAAAAGTAATCCACCTTTACAAAAATAAATTTTGGTGGATCCAAGTCTGTTCTGTAGTCTCTTGTAAATTAATATGCTTTCTTGAATGAACTATGTCTCATCATGATAGTTGCTGCAGAAGCAAATAACTCACAAAAGTCTCATTATCTTAAAAATATTTTGCATGTAGAAAGAGGTCAATGACTTCTGTCCTATTTTGTTTTGTTTTTCTTTTGTTTTCCTTTTGATCTAATGGTGAATTTTTAATATTGGTTTTGACAGAACTGAAATCAAGCTTTTGAAATTATCTTAAATTTTAAGATGTGATTTAAAGGATAGTTCTTATCATTCCTTTTTCATGGTTGGCTATGAGGAAACATTGATACAAATGACAGGTAACCGGCTTGATTTGGGAACTCTAGGGACCAAGTTGGATGTTCTCTTTAAGCTAATGAAGAAAGAGATGGGGCAGTGCAAACCACAGTTGCAGCTTCCAGACAATCATGGGATTTGAGCTTAACAACATAGCTTGAATAAAATTTAAGTTTGGGTACATAGCATTTACAAAAGATGACAGTAAAAATGGTGTTTTGCAAAACAATGAAAAGATTCACCTGACAGAAAAGGTAGAGACAGGTGGAAGAATGACAGTCTGGGAAAGGGAAATCAAAGCAGACTAGCATCCTTCCTAAGTAAAGAAAATAATTGAATTCAATTATATGAGGAAACAGGAGTCAATGTATGTTGTATAAAACTCAGCTTATAAAAAAAATGTACTGACATTGGTTTAGCTGTTATTCACATACAGTATGAATTGGGACCACAGACTAATGTATGTTTTAATTACTGCAGAGGGGCTAGGAAGATGGCTCAGGAAAGGACCTGCTTCACTAACATGAGGAACTGAATTTGCATTCCCAGATGGGAGAGAGGGGACAAGATTGACAGACAGATTCTCTCACACTCAGTGAGAGACCTTGTCTCAAAAGATAATGTGGCAAGTGATTGAGGAAGGCATGCACTACCATCTCTCTGAATTCATACCCCTGTGTGGGCTAATTTGTGCTCAAATTCAGCAGTGTTTAAACTCAGAATGCTGTTAAGAAAACATTAGCCTTAACTTAGAACATTAGGAGAAAATTTATAAATCAATGAAGATTTTATTTTCAGAAATATTTCTATAATAATTGATGCTATAACTATTTGGAATAAGAGAAACAGAAATGGATATAAAAAAAAAAATGAGCTAACCACCTAGAAGTAAGGTGTGTCTGTGTTTTATTTTTCGTTTAAGAATTATAAGTCAAGGAAATATATAAGATGTAAAGGGCTTGGATTTTGTTTTGTTTTTGTTGTTTTGCTTTGTTGTTGTTGTTTTGGTTTTTCGAGACAGGGTTTCTCTGTCTTGCTTTGGAGCCTGTCCCGGAACTAACTCTGTAGACCAGGATGGCCTTGAACTTACAGAATTCTCCCTGTCTTTGCCTCCTGAATGCCTGGATTTAAGGCATGAACCACCACAGTCTGGTGGGTTTTATTAAGTTAAAAAGAAAACCTCAAATTTTCTTTGAATAGCAAAACAAAACCTCAAATTTTTCTTTGAATTAATACAATATTATACTCTTAAATTTTAGAAATTACTATTTTAAGTTTTTGAAGATTAAATGTGTGTGCACTTGTGCTCGAATGCCTATGTGCGTGTATGTGCCTGTCTGTCTGACTGTCCATCTGTCCGTATATCTGTCCGTCCATGGGCATGTGAGTGAGTGCAAGTGCCTTCAGAGGCCAAGGTGGGCTTTGGCTCCACTTAAGTGGAATGTGTGTATAAGAGCACCATGTGCATACAAGAGCCCTCAGAGGTCAGAAAAGGGCATTGGATACCCCTAGAACTGAAGCTGTGGTTCTGAATCACCTTGTGTTGGGAACCTAACTCAGGTCCTCTGTAGGACCAGCAAGTGTTCTTCACTGCCGAGCCATCTCTCCAGTCCCTTGTATTTGTTTTGCTTATATTTAAGTGATAGTAGAAGTCAAAACCAGAGCCTCACCCATACTACACAAACACTACCACTGAGGCAGTGCTTAAATACAAACAGGTTTTCTATTGATATCATTCAGATTATGGTATGATTTAAAATTCTATATTCCATTCATTATGAGTTCTTCTGTAGACCAGAAGCATCTATACACCCAAGGGGGCATATGATACAAAATAATTATTTCTATTAAATCTTGAATTTTATATTGAACATATTTTGTGCAATAAATATATAGATTTTTTCTATATATTTTCTGCTGCAACTTTCCTGATATTTTTAAAATTCTTACTTCCTTTAGGAGTCACAGTGCATTAATAACAAGTGTAGTCCCTGGTGATTATGATGGGGATTCACAAATGGATGTCCTGCTCACATATTTTCCCCAAAATCATAGCAACAATGAATTAGGAGCTGTTATCTTCTGGGGACAAAATCAAACATTAAGTGAGTTTTGAATTTTTATTGTTATTGGCTGGAAAAGGTAAATTGTAAAAACATATCTGATATTTTTAATGAAAGTGTAACAGTTATTGTTCTCAAATTGAATATTCTGCTCTTGTGCTCTAGTAAAAAACTTCTTAAGTTATTTATTTTATTTTTTTGTAAACTAACCTAGTTTATTACAGAGAACAAAATCACTCTTAATCACTTCAAAAAGATATATTATTAGCTTTTATCATTATTGAAGTAACTAAAGATTTAACTTAAGGCCTAGTATGATGTCACACACCTTTACCTCAGCAGTTGGGAAGCAGAGACAGATGGACCTCTGTGACTTCCATATCTGCAAGGGCTAAATGTGAGGCTTTGTGTCAGGGTAAAAAGTACAAACTTCAGAGCTCTGGGGGAACAATCTTATGTACATTAAGGAAGGTACTGTGTCCTTTAGCTATGAGAAATGGCCAAGTACACAACAGATGCTCAAATGATGCCAGTACTGCTAATAGTCTCATCAGCAAAATGGATGGTGCACTTGGCCTCTTACTACAAATTCAGTGTGCAAACACAAAGGGGAGTGCATTAGAATTATAGATGTTGTCCTACCACACATGCCTATAAAAATCACAGTCTATCTGGTTAGCAAGTGTCATACTTAGGGGTTTATTGCTATGAGGAATCTTATAAAGAAAAACATTTAAGAGGGCACTGATTTACAGTTCAGAGATTTAGTTCATTATCGTTGTGGTGGGAAGCATGGTGCTGGAGAAGGAGCTAAGAGTCTTTATCTAGATCCACAGGCAGCAGAAGTGAATGTAACAGTAGGCCGATGTTAAGCACCTTAGATTTCAAAGCCTACCTGCACAGTGACCCACTTCCTCCAACAAGGCCACAGCTCATAATAGTGTCATTCCCTATGGGCCAAGCATTCATAGACATGAGTCTGTGGGGGCCAATCCTATTCAAACCACCACAGCAAGGCTTACATTTAGTTTAGCATCACAAATGCTAGGATATCTGGCAAACCTTCCTTTATGTTTTCCAGTCTTCCAGTATAGAAAAGTACTACAAGTATAGATTGTGTGTCAATCTGCTATATACAGTTATGAATCTTGAAATCTTATATAAAAAGCCAATTGATAATGCAGAAGTTGACTGCTTTATTCAAAGAGGGCAAATGCGTGCATGTTTTGTGTCAACATTTGTGAATGCAGATAATATTCTTAATGCATCCAGCCATCCTTTCATTTACAAGAGTGCCTTATGCAGGTGTGGCTTATAGGAAACATGTACATGGCAGAGTAGGGTAGGGTTAGACATGCTATTTTATTTGTCTATGTTATCATATTGTTGATTACCAAATTGTACAGAAAAAAAAAAAGGCAGCTAAAAGATATTCAGATGGGAACCTCAAATGAAACTGTCCTTTGAATCTTCAAATGGCTTATCATTAAATGAAGTTTTTGATGTCTCCATAGTGGTAAGTGTTGTGAAAAAAATACTTTGTAGATAAGAAAATTAATTTTAAATACCAAGCGCTTCATATTCATATATATATTGTGTGTATATACTTATCACATGTGTTATGTGTGTGTGTATATACACATATATCCTTTTTTTTTTTTATAGGTTCTAAAAACATGACCATACTCAATAGGACTTTTCAAGACCAACCACTGATTATGGAGTAAGTATGTCCTTGCTTTTGAACAATTGAAAACTTACAAACATAAAATAAAGTCTTTTATGTAGGAAGCTACTTTGCTAAGTAAAATTGACTCTAAATTTACATCTTAAAATTTATGGGAACCTATATACATGATTACATGATATTTGCTATGATGAAGTAAAGATACAAATAAAAGAGAAAATTGATTATCTTGAAGAAAGGAAGAAACATTTTTTTTTGATAACTTTGTTCCTTGTGGAACTATAAGGACATGTAGTCATGTATCATTTTTTAATTAAGAAAGCAGTTTTTGAGTTGAAATGTTCATTGACAAATATGAAGAATATAGCATTCCCTTCAGAAATGGGCAAAGATTTCCACATTAACAAGAAAATATGGTCCTTTACAATAAATTTTTCTTTCTATTATTTATTTATTCAAAATAAACAAAATGACTAAATCTAAATTTAGAACAAGATAGTATTAGTATTGAGGTAAAGATCATTCTTGGAATATAAAATATGGTCACATTCTTATTTCCAGTGATACCATTTACAGTTACTAAATCATTCCCATAATTTCAGCTTCTCAAGAGTGCTTTGTTTGATTTCTTTTATACTTGTGTTTTCATTGTTATTATAATAATCAATGGCAAGTATGAATTTTTATAGCAGCTAGGAATTCTTTTATGAATTATTTTAAGCCTAAAGTTTCCAGGAATTAACACTGTTTGCTTCACTGTTGGGAAGAGACAGAGCAAGACATTATTTATTTATTTATTTATTTATTTATTTATTTATTCATTTATTTTACCAATTTAGTCTTTTAATATTTTTGACCATTTTTTAATTCTAAAAACAATCTTTTCTCACTTTACATATCAATCCCAGTTCTCACTTCTGCCCCTTTTGCTGCTACTCCCTCCTCCCCCGACCCCCAGCCCCATCCACTCCTTAGAGAAGATTGGGCTTTGAAGTAAGACCATGGCCCTCTCCCCTATATCTAGGCTGAGCTAGGTGTCCCTCCAAAGACAATGGGTTCCAAAAAGCCAGTTTAAGCACTAGGGGTAAATCCTCCCACTGCCAGTGGCCCCACAGACTGCCCAAGCTACACTACTGTCACCCACACTCAGAGGACCTAGTTTGATCTTATGTCAGTCCAGAGTCAGTGAGCTCCTACTAGCTCAGGTCAAGATCAGGGCATTTTAATGCTGTCCTTCCCATGACCCCTTTCCACCCTTTGTACATGACCCTGCTGTATAGATGTATGATGGAGGTGTGCCAGTCAAACTAACACTCACTGACTATGAATCACTAAAGACTGTATTTTAAAACAATTAGTTCTTATACATATAGTTTTATTATTAGTTTAAAATTAGTCAAATCTACCTACAAAAAGGATGATGTTCTTTTTTATCTTTGCATAGAACATTTCATAGTGAAGAATGTAGAACTTCATTGTTTTCCAAAGATGATCAATATTTTCAATTTCTAAACATCAATGCTGAGAATGCCATTTCATATAAATGCATAATTTTTTTAAATGGCAGATGTTTGTTTAGGGTCATTTCAGAAATTGTTAGAAAATCTCCTTAACTCAAGCCATTATTGAATGATTTTTTTTCATGAAATTTAAGTAAACAATTTAAAACTTAATTTAAAAAAATCAAGCATGCTAGCAATGCAATTCAAATAGTTGCTAATTTGTTACTTATATTCTGAGGAATGACAATAGAGAAAATATCTTTTTCTCTCTGAAATTAAACCATCATATTTCCATAACAGCAGAAACTCTGTATACTCAGGGCATTGCAGTTCATACCATGAAGTAGTACTTATGTGAGCCAGGATCTTCAGACAGCAGAGCCTTGGTTGCCATTGGTTGGTGCACAGTGCTTGTTTTGTGTTTATAACCAAAGTCCCAGTGCAGTATGTAATGCAGAAGTACCTCAGATTCATCTGTGTTTGACTTTGAATTAATTTTTGGTTGTTAAATTCAAAACCATTTTACTGTCACAACCTGTCCTTTAAGAAACCAAGCCCTGCTGGGGTTGGTGGCACATGCCTTTAATCCCAGAACTAGGGAGGCAAGGCAGAGGCAGGTGGGTCTCTGTGAGTTCGAGGCCAGCTTGGTCTACAGAGCTAGTTCCAGGACAGGTTCCAAAGCAATACAGAGAAACCCTGTCTTAAAAAAAAAAGCCAAGCCCTATATAACAGAGAGGTCATCGATAAACCCAAAAGGTCGAAAAATTAACATTAATTCCTGCTGCTATGCAATGGGTCTGGTATGGCTAGCAAGAGGCTTTCATTTATGCTCCTGCTTAGAAAGTAGAGCTGTCAGAACACCTCTGTCTCTGAAGGTAGCTTAAAACACAGTTCTGTTTTTGTTTTGTTTTTTCCATTTTTTGAGATTATATTATAATTTGCATCATTTTCTCATTCCCTTTCCTTCATCTAAACCCTCAAACATATCCTTTCTTGCCCCCCTTTGAAATTTATGACCTCTTTTTTCCTTAATTGTTACATACATGTGTTTGTATACATATATATTCCTAACTATAACCTGCTTAAGCTCTATGTATGTATGTTTAGTGGGCTCAGCCTTTGATACTGGATAAACAATTGGTGAACTCGGTGTACTCACCTCTGGAGGAGACTGTCTCCCACTCTCAGCCTTCCTTATTTACTTAGAGTTCTTTGTATAAGGTTGAGGTCTCCTGGGCCTCCCCACATCCATTTTAGCATGTCTGTTATTGTCCTTTTTTTAGCTCATGTTACGGCAATCATGTTGGTGACAGTCATAGGTATAGAATCTATGACTTTTTAGAAGACACAATCTCATAGCAAAGTGTGAAAGCCTATTCCTTTGGCTTTCCCAATCTTTCTGTCCCCTCTTCTACAATGATCCTTGAGCCTTAGGTTCAAGAGTTGTGTTGTAGATGTATCAGTTGGGAATGATGGTCTCCATCTGTTGCAAAGAGAAGTTTTCTTGATGAAGGGTGGGGCTATACTTATCTCTGGGTATAAGAACAAATATTGAGAATGTAATAGGAATTGGGCTAGTGATGGGGGGGGGGATGTCCTTTCATATATATCTTTCTATTATTGGTTGATCAATAAAACACTGATTGGCCAGTAGCCAGGCAGGAAATATAGGTGGGGCTACCGGGCAAGGAGAATTCTGGGGAGAGGAGGCAGAGAGTGACTGCCAGGGAGATATACCATGTAGCTGCTGAGGGAACAAGAGGCCTGGGCATTTTTCAGTAAGATAAGACCATGTGGAAATACTTAGATTAATAAAAATGGGTTAGTTATTTAGAGAGAGCTAGCCAATAAGAAGTCTGAGCCATAGGCCAAACAGTTTATAGTTAATATAAGCCTCTGTGTGTTTACTTGGGACTAAACGCCTGTGGGATCTGGCAAGAAAGAAACTCCATCAACAGGTTAGTTTAGTATAGTGGAGGTTGGTGATCTCACTACCTTGGGTAGCTGACTAGGTTTTCAGGACCAGGTATGCTTGACAATGTAAAGAGCTGTTGTTTACCACCAAGGTATATGTGCCGCTACTTTGCTCCTTATTGTGTCATGCTATTTGTTGTAGTGGTTCATAGGACTCTAAGTGGGTATGACTGTTGGTTGCTTTCATCCTTTTTAAATTTGCATCGCAACCTCTGTTACCATGAAATTTTATCCTCAGGAAAAAGATACTCAGGTGAGTTCTGGTTCAGGGACCTCTGGGCCCTGTATTTGAAGAGCATGGTGTCTTCAGCAATAAGGACTCACCTATTACCTCTTGGGGGCAACCAAGTGAAATAGCAATGGTATGTGATATTTGGGAAGTCTCTTGGGCAGCTCTGATCAATAACTCAAAAGAGAGCTTGTATGCTTGGTGTTGTGGTTTTTCTTTTTTCTTTTTTCTTTTTTCTTTTTTTTTTTTTTTTTTTTTTTTTTTTTTTTTGTGTTTTTCTTAAATGGTCTTTGAGTTACATTTAAGTTACATATTAATATTCATTCACCAACTTAACTTGCACTATGTGTATTTTTAGGTAGTTAAGATTTGCCCTTATAGTGCAAATCTAATTCTTATAATTGCAGCAGAAGGTTTATTTGGCTGGGGACCCATTAGCTGAACTGAAAGACTTTGGTCTGGAAAGGGCAACTGTCGTTTCTGCTTCATTGGCCACAAATAGACACTGTTGAGTATGATAATATTCATTCCATACTATTGGAAGCTAAGTTAAAAGTGACATTTTAATAAAACAGCTGCCTAATTTTTAAAATATTTTCTTTCTAGCTTCAATGGTGATCTGATTCCTGATGTATTTGGTATCACAAATGAATCCAGCCAGCCACAGATACTATTAGGAGGGTGAGTAACAAGGAGTATAGCTGTATAATTAATCATATGTATTCTTGCTGCTGCAGGTCTATGTGTGAACTTTTGTTTTAATTGCTGAAGAAAAGCCAACTTAATAGAAATGCTTATTTTAAAAAAAAGTTTGTTTGTTTTTTGTTTTTGTTTTTTTTTTTTTTTAGGGGGGGTGGTCAACATGGAAGCTTTCTCAAAGAGTTTGAATTTGATCTGTAACCATTTTGTATGTTGACCTGCCTATATCTCCATGTAGATACAAGTTCATTAGATGTTACTGGAATTTAAATAAGATAAATAGCTACAGTCTGCTAGGAACATCATTGTTCTGTTGGCTCATATATGTTAGTTCATAATAAGCTTTGCTTCTTTATTTCACTTGTAAAATAAAAAAGTAAATGAATAATTGCCTAAAAATTTAAGCACCCCCTTTAGTTCTGGAAATTCTCAGTGTGAACTTTGTCACTGACCAGTACATATACAAAAGTTTCCTTATTGTTTAAACATGCAGTTCAAAGGGCTATACCTCATTTCCTCTGGATTTCAATACCGCTTTCCTCCTAACTCAACTAGGGATGGCATGGTACTTTTCATGAGGGATCTTCAGTTGGTTTTCTGAGGTTTCGTTTATTTCTGCATCTGGTAAGGCAAGTTTTTTGTATGTATAGAGAGCCTATTTGTTTTGTTTGCTTGTTTGTTTGGCCTTTAAGGAAATGCAGAGAATCGCCCTTTATTGGTATGTCTTCTAATAGTTATTTGGAGTTCCAACAAATTTCTGTGTTTTGAGATATAATTGTATGTCTCATAATTTTTATGTTCATGTTTTCAAATGTGATTTACTGATAGACATGAATAAATTGTATTTAAGTTGTCTTGTGGAGAAATGCTAAGATTTCCTGTCCCTTTTTCTAAAATTTTTTCATAAAGAATATAAATGTTTGGATACTTATCATAATGAACATTTAAAGAATTGTTGTGAATCTTGAATGAGAAACCTGTATTCCCTTCCTGAAAACTTTACAAAATATCCCAAATCAGTTGTGCTCTAGAGATAACTTAGAAGTAGATCTTCATTTGGTTCAGGCCATTTCTAAAAGGAATAGTATGAGTGGCAAGAAAATCATGCACGCGCTGTCCCTGTCCCAGTCGGTCAGGACTCCTCAGAAAGAAAGCCCTAGCTTCTCAAAGTCAGGCTTGTGACTGTGATTGTGCTGGTGATCTCTTGCTGGTTATTTCATGGCATCTCCGTCTTGGCATATGTCATTGGAATATCATCAACTGTATTTTCTTTTTATGTGACAAATACTTTCATGTGCAGCATTTCTGTTTGATTCTTTTGTAGATTCGCAGTTTTCTTGCTAAATGTTTCTCCTATGCATTTGAAACTGATTAGTGTATTACTCATATCTCCATTACTTTCTTATCTAGCCCTGAATGAATTTCTTACTTCATTTGTCTTCTGTTACTTGAGCCCTCTGTGGTTACTGCTTCTTTTGGAAAGTAGGATTCTAAAATCTTTCAACTATTTCCTTTCTTTGGGTCTAATACTAAGGGCTTAGAAGGTTATGGTAGCATCATACTGGCTTATTTCCCAAACCTTTCTTTTTTTGTTGTGTTTCATGCATTTATTAAAGTGGATTTGTCTTTTTATTAGACACTGAGGATTAATTGTTATTTTCCCACTTGTTTGTTTATATGTTTTTCTGGTGAAGTGTCTTTGGGGGTTTGTTTCCTATTGTGGAGTTAGAGTAGAAGCCAACTGTAGGAATGAAAACAATGACTTGACAGAGGTCCAATTGTAAGCATGCAGTAAAAATACTTTTTACTTCCTGTATGTGTCTAGTAAGACTCAGTCAAAAGCACTAGCTTTGTTGGGAAACGCAGTCTATACATTTTTTTTCAGTCTATACATTTTTAGAGCTAAGGGTGCTGCTAATAGTAAAAGGCAAATGGTAGAAAAGGGAGAAAGAGGGAGTAATTTATGAATGGGAGCAAAGATATATGGGGTAGAACTATAAGAAATAGTAGAGAAAATGTTATAAAGAAGGTGCATGAAAAGAGGACCAACAAGATGACCCAGTGTATGTAAATTCTTGCCACCAAGACTGAGGACATGGCTTTGATCCCTAAGACTCATACTGGTAGAGGGAGAGAACCAACAACCCCATGTTGTCCTCTGAGCTCCACAAACATGCTATGGTTTGTGCGCCCTTCAAGAATAAGTAAATATATTTAAAAATTAAAGGAGAACACTTATGAAAAAATCCATAAGATGAAAGCTTAAACAAAGTAAAAAAAAAAAAAAAAGAATATAGAACTACAAATTTTAAAAACAAATGTCAAATTAAGAAATGAAATAACTATATATTATTGGTCAGCATGTCTTCCTAGTTAGGATGGTTTCCCCAGCTCCTGTTCTGTCCTTGTGGTTGGTACTATAGAGGAGGAATATTAATATCCATGACTTAGACCAATTAGGTCTGTATTTCAGTGCTGAAAGGAGTTTGTGTGTAGCAGCCTTTCTGACTTTCATTCTAGAGGCGTTTCTCAATTCTTCCTGGTGTTCTGGGGAATCGTACTCACCTTGTGGGATTTTATGGGCTCTGGGTTACAAGCCCATCCTTGCTTTCCCCTTTGCCTCTGATGTTTTCTGCCTGCCTCCATTCTACCTACAGTTTGTGTCTGAAAACACTTGTGTCATGGAGAGATTATTTCTGATTTCACATGCTTCTTGTGTTTCATGGTGTGGCTCTTATGGGAGATGTCATTCTGTAAATATGTTTCTCTTATTGGTTAATAACTAAAACACTGTTGGCAAATAGGAAGGCAAGATAGGCGGAACTAGGAAGCATGGAGAATTCTGAGAGATATAGAGGAGATTCAAGATGTAGAAACTTGAGGGAAGAGGTCCAGATCCTCTCTCCAGGAAGATAAGGCCATGTGAAAACACTTAGATTGATAGAAATGGGTTAATAATTAAGACAGAGATAGCTGATAAGAAACTAGTAACTGGCCAACAGCTTTATATCTAATACAGTGTCTCTGTGTTATTTGGGGCTGAAATTGGAAGTGGGACCAGGCTGGCGGGAAAACTGCTCGTAACATGGCTCACCTAGGTTGTAGTGGGTACAGCCTTCCCTATATCCCTCAGACTAGGCATTCACGGGTATTGTGTAGAATCCTAGCTTCAGGTTTGCACATTACACTTCTACAACAGCCAACACTACCCCACCATCTCTTAACCCCGTCATACCCATTCTGTGACATTGTTTCTACAGGCCACTCAGTCTGTCTTCATTGAAACAGTGATCACTTTGTTTTATTTAACATTTAAAATTAAAATCTACAAAACAGCTAGAATACTAATTCAGAAAGTAAAATTCCAATGTCTCTATGGACTTTTATTAAATCAATCAGAAAAACTCCTGAGAATATCATATTAAAGGGCCGTGTCTTATTTATTTTGACAACTATAAGGTTTTCTCTAATGCTTCTTTCAATAGTATCACTTTTTTTAAAAAGTAGTATCACTTTTAAAAGTTATTCTGCCTAAAAATATGTTTCTGTGTTTCTTATAAACTACGTTCCTATGTGCAATAGATTAGACTAATAGTCTGTTGTTATATAACATATCTCATTCAAATGTCAGTCAGTCAGATTTTCTCTAAGTGATTTATTCTAAGGCCAAATTAATGAATTTTTTAAAGATTATTGTGTGTGTGTGTGTGTGTGTATGTGTGTGTGTACGTGCGCACACATATGTGCGCATGCACACACACACGTACATGTGCACGGGCAAATGTATGTAAGACAGAGAATCAGGTACCCATTACACCCAATGTTGTTTACTCCCCTAGAGTTGGAGTTACAGCTAGTTGTGAATTGTCTGACATGGATACTTGGAATTGAACTTGGGCCCTCTGTAAGAGCAATTATTTCCTCATAACCTATAATCAATCCCTCTAGTCCCAAACAATTTTTTAAATTCACACACGCAAAAATTTCTGTTGTGGTTGGAAGTATAGCTTATTTCTAAGAAGCATGGTTAGCATGCAAAAATATCTTAGCTCAGTTCTCCCCACATAAGGATGCATGTGCACACTACAGACATACCTGCTTTCTGTTGCTTCCCTTGTGAGATGACTGTAGATAAGGCAAAGCTGAGTGTAACCCTGTAGTTTATTTGGCTTCCTCCAGCAAGGGTCCACATCTCAAAGGTTCCATCACCTTGCTGAACAGTGCCACAAATGGGGGATGAAGTATTAAATATGTGAACCTACAGGAGAATTTTCTCATTCAAAGCACCACATATGTGCAGGTGTATACATGCAGGTGAAAAAAACATCACATATGTGCCAGTGTATAACTACAGGTGAAAAAAGCACCAGCAAAAGAAATTCTGTACTATTTAGAGTTTGATTAGCAGCCCATTCTTATTTATCAGGAATCAAACATAACTTTTGCACCTTCGCTGTTACACATTATGGATATGCCACTCCTGAGTGTGTTTTACTTAAATTTGGGTAGCAGCATAGTTTTATAGAAAATGTGCAATGATTTTTACATAGAGTGCCAATTGTTTAAGATTGTGCTAGGAATCCAAGGGCTATAACCTGGCCTACCACTTGCTTAGAAATAGGTGCCTGCCCTTAGTAAAGAGACAGAATCACTTTGGCTGCAGTTACAGTGAGTGTGGTCACTTTACGTAGGCAGTGAGTCCTATGTTGTTGTCCAGTGATGGTTATCTGACAGGGTGAAGATAAAGCTAATAATATGGAGGGCACAATTGTATTATATCAAAAGGTTAAATGGGAAGCTTCAATATGTGCCGCAAATTCACTTTATACTGACTTGAAACCATATAATAATGGATCACATTGCTTAGAAATAACACCTAGCTGTGAAGTGTTAGAGCATCTTCCACGGTTACATGAACTTATCATTAATAGGCATTTTCTATAAAAGGATACTTGAAACTGATGTTGCGTAAACTTTCAGAA